CCCCCCCCCCACACACACACACACACACACTTTTACTATGAAACATTAGTTCAGGCGGCGCAGTTTCTCTTTCTTCGTGAACGAATCCATTCCACTTGATTAATAGGAAAATACTCAAACCACTAAAACTCCACTCCAGGTTTTCCTGGTTACCTCCAACTCTCCACCGTCTCCTGCCTCTGTAGAAAACGCGCACAGGTGGAGGAGGTGGAGGTACCTGTGTTACTCGCTCACCAGTTTAGCGAGCTTAGTGCGAGCAGTTGTTGACCAGGGGGGTTTATCATAAACATATTCATGTTAGGAGGATGCTTGAGCAAAGTGCAGCGCTACATCTGTAGCATCTCAGCTTAGCAGTAACTGTGACGCTGTAAGACGCTGCAGGTGTAAGAGATGCTGTGTGTTCAGGTGCATTAAAGTTGAAATGTTTTTAAAATCCCACAACTTATTGTCCTCAAGCTTCATGACAAACATCATTTAGATGAGTAGTGTTGAACACAAGTAAAAAAGTCCAGTGGTGATAATTTTTTTATTAAAGTTAAAATGTCTTTAAAACCCACAGATGAATTTACACAAACTTGGTGAGAAACATGTTTTAACTGTGTGGAATTAAAGGAAATCTAGGTAAAATGCTGCTTTTTTTTTTTTTGTAAATTAGTGAACACCATTTTTTGTACACTAGTGAACACCTATTTTTTTTACACGCACACATGCACACACACACCTACACACATCATTGTGTCCCCCCCACTTTATGGATGCTTCTGATGCCCTTGGGCTGAGCAGACAGGGACAGTGGGTCCTTATCAAAATATTCACAGGTCTTTTTTTTTGCCTTTTAGGCTGGCAAACCTTTCTGGTGAAGTTCTGCCTCAAGTGGAGGAGTTCAAGTATCTCAGGGTTTTGTTCACGAGTGAGGGAAGAATGGAGCGTGAGATTGGCAGACAGATTGGTGCAGCATCTATAGTATTGTGGACTCTGTGCCGGTCCGTTGTGGTGAAGAGGGAGCTGAGCTTTAAGGCAAAGCTCTTTGTTTATTAGTCAATCTACATTCCTACCCTCACCTATGGTCACGAGCTCTGGGTAGTGACCAAAAGAACGAGATCGTGGATACAGGAGGTTGAAATAAGTTTCCTTTGCAGGGTAGCTGGACTCTTCCTTAGAGATAGGGTGAGAAGTTCAGTTATCTGGGAAAGACTTGGAGTAGAACCACTGCTCCTCCACATCGAGAGGAGCCAGTTGAGGTGGTTTGGACATCTGGTAAGGATGCTTCCTGGGCGTCTCCCTAGGGAGGTGCTTCGGGCATGTCCGACTGGGAGGAGACTCTGAGGAAGACCCAGGACACGCTGGAGGGACTATGTCTCTTGGTCGGCCTGGGAACACCTTGGAATCCTCCCAGAAGAGCTGGAAGAGGTGGCTGAGCAAAAGAGATGGCTGGTCTTCCCTGCTCAAGCTGCTGCCCCTGAGACCTGACTTCGGAACAAGCGAAAGATGATGGATGGGTGGATGGATGGAATTTAGTCATAACTAAACAGTTTCACTAAACTGAGGGTATTCAAAGAGCTATCTGCAGCAGGTAAGATGCCACTTGTACATAAGCATTCCACAGAAACTCACTTCAAAAGACCTGAACTATCTCTTTAAACTGGTAGCTTTCAACCACAAAACTGCACAGTAAAAATAAACCCCAATCTGCTTGATAGAGCTGAACCAACACATAAAAGAATCTAAGTGTCATTTCACTAACTTTTAATGTTATCTTTCAGAACATGTCACACACTGCAATCCTCTACATGGCATACCAAACGTCTGAAATGAGGATCTGCAGTCAGAGCAGATATAAATATGAATTACATGAGTTGGGTCACATTCATTGTTGCATAATTTTTACATTACATTTGCAACTGAATGCTATGTGTGGTCGTAAGCAAGAGAAAGAGGAGAAATGTCCTTGCCATGAACACTTTTTCTTTGTCTTATGGGAGTTTTTGAGGGCCAGTGATGCAAATTTGTATTTCACTCAGAGGCTGAAGGTTGGCAAATACAGACGAGTGTAGTGTAACAAAAAAACCCGCCATCATGATGATGTTTCTTATATCTCTACTTATGTTAAAACGCAAAAAAAATTACTCATAGAATTTAATTAGCCTAAAAGTCATTACTTTTACGGTTTCTATTGATTTTATAGTTTGTATCAGCACTTTGACCAACGGTGTTGTTTTTAAAGCGCTTTATAAATAAATGTGTATTGTTTTGTAAAAGGATTTTACTGTTTACTGAGATTATTTTATTACATTTTCATAATTTTTGACTGAAACAGACATTTTCTACACTTGCACATGAAGGTGACAAACAGCCCTCAGTTTAAACTTTTGACAGTTTTTTTGATAATGGATACAAACAACTTAAATGTGCTAATGTATTCAAGTTTAGAAAAAGTGCAGACAGATTACATGTAAATCTCTGTAATATACAGCTCAGACTGGCAGAGAAGGTGTGAAAACATAAGGCTTGATTCACTCTGCACACCCACATTGATCTATCCCTCTATATTCTTATAAAGCCCCCAGCTTTCTTGTATTTCTCTTTGCAAAGATAGAGTTTGTAAAATTACATGTTCTGTCAGTACTCACATTGTAATGTGCCAGGGTGTTGATGCGCCTCCACCTGCCTTCTTTCTGGGAGGTCAAGTCGAGATCTGATAAAATCTGCCCCGTTGAGCCAGGGCGCCACTCTGTCAAGGTAGAAAGAGAGCAAAGGTATTCTGCAATAGTTTGGCAAAGTGTTGCAACAGCTTTTTTTATTATGTTATTCAAATGTTATACCAGGATGGCACACTGTTATTATGAGGTCACCCTGTAATAATGTGATTTTAAACAAATTCAGCTACTCATCCTGCTTTGTGACCACTTTTCTCCTGGGACTTAAAGACAGTGAAGAAGTGACACATTTCTATTTCATGAATAATTTAAGTTTAACTCCAAGCTGTGATTTGCACCGCAGCACTTTGTGCATAACTGCAGCCTAGAGTCCAATACACCACATGTGACATACTGTGTGATTCATTTACAAGCACCATCAAATATAAGGGAGGGGGGTCGTTTTTTATTCACCACAAACAAAGATGAATCTCTGCTATCTAAAAATGTATAAAGAAAATGAGATCTACAGCGCGATGGGAATAGAATCGAGCTTTGATGTTAGAAAATGTCTGTGGAGCTTTGGTCTTTTAAGTCAGTCCCCTAGGTTTCTTAGAGCAGTGAGCAAAACTTGAAAGATTTCTTTACATTGCTGACAATAACATGCTTCTTAACCTCAATAAAGCTTTTTTTTTTTTCCATTTAATTTGGAAGCACAAAGTATTCACTAAATAAATACACATATTCTGAAAAAGCCTAACTTAAAACTTTTTTTAGAATATTTTATTTCAATTTCTACCAGGCCTGTCGTGATAAACAATAAATCAATTAACCGCATGATAAATGAAAATTATCAACCTCATTTTCATTTATCGGCTTTATTGTTTCTTCGTGTCTCTCTCTTTCTACTGAAGACACTGGATGACAAAAGGCTCAACTCCGATGCTCTTCACTGACCCCTCCCTTTCTCTTTTCTTTAAAATCTGTTTTAACTGTCCATAATCACGTTTGTGGATCGTTCAAAGCAGCTAAGCTGAGAAGCCAAGCTACAAGCTAAGCTAACAGGCTGACCTCGGGGAAAAACCCTCCATCTTGTCAAAGCTTCAGAAATCACAGTTGAAACCCGTGCCTTCGTGTAAAAAGTTGTTTTTCTCTGCAAAAAGAAGCTCAGAACTTGTTTACTGATTTTTAAATTTTTTTAATAAAAGCTTTGCGTGAAAAATGCTATGCTAAAGATCTCAAAATACACCGAGCATCCGCCATTTTGAGAACCAAAAAAAAAGGAAAGACAGCCCATGTCACATCAAGGGGCCTCACTCCCATTTTTCTTAAAGAGACACGCTGCTCGCTTGCTCCCTCACTATCCATCCTTCGGTTCAAACAGTCTTATACTACCATCCAGTGGCCCAAAAAGGTAAAATTAACCAACATTTCTTCTTAAATTTGACAATAATGACTAATTATTGTCAAATTTCAAACAATATTATCGTTTATCGCAATCATTTCTGAGTCAATTAATCGCCCAGCAAAATTTGTTATCGTGACAGGCCTAGTTTTTATACGTCTCCACTTTCCTTGTTTGATATATTTTTCATCATTATTACATTTTTCTTTTGTTTCTGGTCTCCTTACTCACCCAGTGTGACGCTGTCAACCTTGGGCCGCTGGGAGTAAGGTACATTTCTGTACACTTGCTCGATGATCTTCTCTTTTACTTGTGAGACGGTGTCACAGTTCAGCACCTTGACGGGCGTCACATCTGGACCCTCGCCTTGAACCAGCACTTGCAGGGTCTGACAAGCAAACACACACAGAGACAGACGTGCAATGTGGTGAACGCATGTGCAAATATACACACAGATCAAAAGAATGCACAAGTAATATCCACACATGTTCAGAGCAGCCAGCCGTCAAAGCATACAGAGTTCTATGGGGAGACGGTTGTCATGGCAACTGGGCTTCTCGAAGCACACAACAACACATGCTGCACTGACACCTGACATGACTCTTGTCACCTTGGCCAGCTAATGACCAAGGCTCAGCAGGGAGAAACATCTGACCCACCACACCTCTCAGAGTCTGTCAGAAATAACTGACCACTCAACAGACTCAACCAGGGAACGGAAAACCCATCACAACTGGACCTGCATGAGCTCATTGTCGTTTAAAGTAAATGTGGAGCTTACGCTGTGAATAAAGCCAGTAGTGCACAGTATTTGCCTATGAACCTGCTTGTTATGATTTTTTTCCTCTCTCCCTGTGTAATTTAATCACACAAGGCGATCCATCACTACAGGAGACATGTAATTCAACCTAATTTGATAATTGTCCTCGACGATGCCATTACCCATGGGCCTCTTTGTTTGTGCTGACTTTAACAGAAAACAGCTGCGCTCAGATTAGCTTCCATTATTGAAACACAGGATCAAAATGAAAGGTGCATGCTTTCTGACTCTAGGTAAGCCGCCCAAATGGATTCAGAGCATGCGCGGGTGACCAAGGTCGAGGGTGGGGGGTTGCAGAGGTGGCTCGTACTCCATTCTTGCTCCGACTTGTTCACCTGAGCCACGTTTTGCTGCAATGTTGGAACGTGTTGCCCGAGTCGGTTTTGCTCTGAAAACACTGACACTTGAAAATGAATGTCACACAGAAGTGGGAAGTCGCCTCAAGGTTTCTTTTTTTTTTTTGCCTGTGCGTGGTTTCCATGGCAACAACATAGAGCACGTGTGTGCATTTTTTTGCCGCTCACCAAACACAAAACACCATGAAATCAGAAAAGCATTCAGAATTTATATTTCGGTGTAGTTTGTGTGTTTGTCCATCTCACCAAGACGGAGTATTCGACATCATCGCCCAACAGGCCCGTGTCGTTCAGGGTGTATTTGGCTTTCTTCACTCTCACGTCCACGGGCCCTTTTTCAATCTGGTGCTTGATTGCCCGGAACAGTTTGTACAAGGGCTCGCCAGCAGAGTCCTAGAACACAAACAGACACACACAGGAAGACACAAAGCATTTTTAAAGTTGCTGCCAGTAACCTGCTTGTTGTGATCAACAGCTCTAACGTAAAAACACTCACACCTTCTGCAGGAACACTAATGTGAAATAAAGCAATCCATAAATAAAGCAGCTTTAAGTGTGAAACCTTACTGTGATTTAATTTAGTAGCTTTAGTAATAAAGTATTTACTGTGGAATTCTATTTTAAATAAATCATGTTAAAGACAAGAGTTTGTGTCACATATTTACTTTGTTTTACTTTAGTAAACCTTTCAGCTGCTCCCTTCTTCAGAGGTCACCACAGTGAACTAACTCACACAAAGACCTGGACCTGGTCCACAAAGACCTGGACTTTTTACACCGGATGTCCTTCCTGCCAAAACCACAGACCACCGAGCTACCACAGCCCTCTGTGTGGAACAGAGAGCTGCCATTCTAGGGCGCCCGAGGGAGCAGATGGTGGGGGTTAAGGGGCCTTGCTCAAGGGCCCAGGGTGGAGCAAATGAGGGTGGAGGCAGATGTGGTTCTTTATCTTTCCAGCCAACATTTTGATGTTGTCGGTCTGGGGAGTTGAGCCGGCTACCTTCCGATTACAGGCCCACCGTCTCTAACCTCTCCGCCATCACTCCCCGTTTTACTTTACTAAACCAACAAAACAAAATCCAAGTATTCTAATCTTAATTTACTCCAACATAAGACAAAAAAAAGAGAAGAAAAGAAAAAAACAGAAATAATACTTTGACAGCTTCCACAATCAAACGTTTATCAGACAAAAATGACTACACTTTAAAAAATATTTATATACAGAGTAGATTAATCAAATTTTTACACCAGGCAATGGCTAAGACATCCTCTTCAATTTATAATTTGTATAAAGCCAGTGAGCCGTGCAGCCGCCTTTTGTGCGGCCAATTATTGACTATCACAGTATGTGCACAGCTCGCAAAACATCATCACATACATCATTTCTAGGCCTGTCACGATAACAATTTTTGCTGGGCAATTAATTGACTCAGAAATTATTGCGATAAATGATAATATTGTTTGAAATTTGACAATAATTAGTAATTATTGTCAAATTTAAGAAGAAATGTTGGTTAATTTGTTTTAAGTGTAGTATTTTTTTGACCACTGGATGGCAGTGTAAGACTGTTTGAGCCCAAGGATGGATAGTGAGGGAGCAAGCAGCGTGTCTCTAAGAAAAATGGGAGGGAGGCCCCTTGAAGTGACATGGGCTGTCTCTCCTTCCTTTTCCAATTCTCAAAATGGTGGATGCTCTGTGTGGTTTGAACTTTTTAGTATAGCATTTTTCACACAAAGCTTTTAATAAAATTTTTTTTTTTAAATCAGTAAACATGTTCTCAGCTTATTTTTGCAGAGAAAAACAACTTTTTACACGAAGGCACGGGTTTCAACTGTGAATTTTGGAGCTTTGACAAGATGGAGGTTTTTACCCGAGGTCAGCCTGTTAGCTTAGCTCGTAGCTTAGCTTCTTAGCTTAGATGCTTTTAACGATCCAAAAACACGATTTTGGATGAACAACAAAAAAGGTTGAATCATGTCATCTGGACTTTGTTTTTTTTGTTAAAAAGAAACGTTTCGCCCCTCATCCAAGAGGCTTCGTCAGTCTGAGGCCTAGCCATCTGGTATTACCCAGAAGCCACCCTGACTCTTGTGTTTCAAGCCTGCCTCAGATACCCCTGAAGTCTGGCCTTTTCACTAATGGTTTCAAAAACACAAAGTTTGTTTTCTCAATGATTTTGGATGGTTAAAATGAATTTGAAAGAGAAACGAGAAAGGGAGGGGCCAGTGAAGAGCGCCGGAGTTGAGCCTTTTGTCATCCAGTGTCTTCAGTAGAAAGAGAGACACGAAGAAACGATAAAGCTGATAAATGAAAATGAGATCGATAATTTTCATTTATCAAGCGATTAATTGATTTATTGTTTATTGCGACAGGCCTAATTATTTCATTGTCCATTTTGTGAAAAATATAGTCTTGCAAATTTTCTGAACCTGCTCCAAATTTGAGTGAAAAGACTGAGGGCTGACTCTGTAACATGCACGGTAATTAAGAACCTCTGCTCACATTGTCAGATAATTTGTAGACTCTCTTGTAAGTGAAGTTTGCAATTTGCTGCCAATAGTCACAACCCAGTGAGATACTGGCCTCAACCTTTTAAAATGATCAATCAACATCAGAATTGATGATCTATATTTCCTATAAAAATAACAGCTGTTTTCCTTAGAAGAGCTAGATGCAACTGTGCATCTTAAATATATTTATTTACTTCCATGTGCATGAGTAGCTAATGAATCTGCATCTTCAGTTATTTTGCACATTTTAAGTTGCAAATGTCAAAAACGTTACCTTCAAAAACTGGTAAAGGCAGATTGACATCCAGTTACACAGCATTCTTTCCACCACAGTCTCTGACCTAAACAAAAAAACAACACTTCAGATTAGACAAGCAACATTTACTCTAGAAATATACTTGATAATCATTTCAGAAGTTCAGTAGAAACCCAAGAGACGTTAAATATTTCCACATCATACACACCTACTAAATATAAACAATCCATGCATCTATAAAGTCTCTGTAACGGTTTAAAACAAAATGGCTGTTGCCAAAAGTCAATTTAAAATAAAAGAATGGGAATATTTTTCAGAACATATTTTTAAAATGCTGTAACAAATCAATGTTTTCTGCACAGCAGTTCAAGGTGTCTTCATCCAAGTCTGTCCTTCAGTGGTCACTTGATGGACAAGTGACACTTACTGTTAACTCTAGACGTCTTGCATGTAATGGTGTGTGTGTGTGTGTGTGTGTGTGTGTGTGTGTGTGTGTGCGTGTGTGTGTGTGTGTGGTGTTTGCACAAAGGCCTAATCAACATATTGAACTTCTCCGCTGGGGGACAGTTAGTTTTGTGAGCTTGTATTACAGCCAGCCGCAGCGTCTGTAAGATGGTTCAGACTACACAGGCCTGTACCCGGAGCGATGAGCGAGTGCACTGTTCAAATGAATGGGTTCAGTTGAGAGGGAGGCAGCGGTCAGTGAGCGGTTTGACAGTGACATGATCATTACTGAAAATAAGCAACAACAAAACACACTCATGCTGACAGTGATAAGTTTTAGAGATTTCTTTGTTCAGGGTATTTTCTTTCAAGTAATGTAGGGCTTTGTTGTTAATACACGAGGTCATGTTGGGTCTTGAGTGGGCAAGTTTACACCAAAAACAAAGAAACTTTAAAACATTTTGATAAGATTAACCAAGTACTTGGTTTAAAAAAAATATCAGTTACTAAAGTAGTGCTTAGTTTTACTTTAAGGTAAAGCAAAGTTGTTTAAATATACATTACTATCTGCACTCAGACGCATTCAGGGTCACCAAATTGTAAGATTTATTCATATGTCTGAAGCAGACTCGGGAAAAGCAATCGTCATCCATTTCAGAAGGTTTATTTTACGCCCACATGTAAGGTACAAAATCGCTTCAGCGATGTCCACTTCGGAGACACCACGAGGTCCCAGGAACTGGCCCTGACTTATTTAATAAAAAAAATTACCATATTTTTCAGTCTATAAGTCACAGCTTTTTGCATAATTTCCATGCCCTGCGACTTATACGCTGAAACAACATATTTATGGAGTTTTCCCATATTTGTAAACCAATGTTTGGCTGAGATATGACCGTTTTCATTTATTCTGACTGAAAATATTGAACACTACCATTTTCGGCACTCGAGTAGTATGGCATGCCGTTGTGTCATGTAATAAGTAAAAATGACTATTAACGAAACAATCGGCTTGCCACAGCCTGCCACCTTCTTGGTCCAGCTTGTCTGGAGCAAATGTCAAATCAGCTTCATTTTGCTGCACCGCCCCAGCGAAATGCAGCTGATTTGACCATTGAAGTGAATGTATTAAATAAAAGTTCAACTGAGACACACCTTTACTATAAAGTCGAGCAAACAAACAATTGTTTTAGGTGCTTATCTTGCTAAATTTCTAAGAAATGCAAAGCATTCCTCCTTCCTGATTTCCTCCCTCTGTCTCAGAGCACTGAGGCAGTGAATACTTTTGAAAACGCAGCTGATTTGACCATCAAAGTGCATTTATTAAAGAAAAGTAAGACTGAGACACACCTTTCACACCTTTACTATAATTTCAAGCAAACAAACAATTGTTTTAGGTGCTTATCTTGTTAAATTTCGAAGAAATGCACAGTGACTCGTCCCTCTGCGCGTTCCTACTTCTGCGTATCGCATGGGCGTCAGAAGCATCTGTAATGTGGGGCGGACACCATAGTGTGTGTACACGCGTGTGTGTGCGTGCGTGCACATGCATGCGCACCAGTGTACAAAAAAGCAACATTTCATTTAGATTTTCTTACTTTAACTACTTTTAAAGCATGTTTCTCTTCTCACTAAGTTTGTGTAAATTCAGCTGTGGGTTTCAAAGACATTTCACTTTAACACACAGCCTCAGTTCGGCACTATTTATTATGTTTATGGAGAAATAAAAAAACATCACCACTGGACTTTTTGTTTTTACTTATGTTCAACACTACTCATCTAAAGGATGTTTCTCACAAAGCTTGAGGACAATAAGGTGTGGGATTTTAAAGACATTTCAACAATTGTACCTGAACACACAGCGTCTCTTACACCTGCTGCGTCATACAGCGTCACAGTTACGGCTAAGCCAAGATGCTACAGACGTGTAGCGATCCACTTCTCTCCTCCTAATCATGTATATATGTTTATGATGATCAACCCCCCCGGTCAGCAACTGCCGGCATTACGCTCGCTAAGCTGGTGAGCGATCAACACAGACGTGTCTCCATTTCCTCCACCTGTGAGTGTTCTCTGCCGAGGCAGGAGGAGATACATAGAAAGAGAGTTGGAGGTAACCAGTAAAACCTGGAGTGGACTTTTAGTAGCCTGAGTATTCTCTTATTAATCAAGTGGAATGGATTTGTTCACGAAGAAAGAGAAACTGCACTGACAGAACTAATGTTTCATAATAAAAGTGGGGGGTCCAAATGAACATTTTTTAATGTGGGGGGGACATGTCCCCATCACATATAATGGCTGTGATGCCTATGGCTTATCGGATTTTGAAATGCAGCTGATTTGACCATCAAAGTGCATTTATTAAGGAAAAGTAAGACTGAGACACACCTTTACTATAATTTTGAGCAAACAAATAAATGTTTTTAAGTTTTAATCTTGATAAATTCTTGTTAAAATCCTCCCGTGCATGCTCCCGTGGCCATCATTTGGCAGCCAATCAATTTTTGGCACAACACCGGCCCACATTTCCTGGTTGTCAAAGGTGACTCATAACAAACGCAACGCGTCAGTGGTGACACATAATAGATGCGACGTATACGGTGAAGCAACATATTTATGGATTTTTCCACTTTATTAGACATATCTGGACTGATGCGACTTATAGGGCGGTGCGACATGTACAGCAGAAAATACGGTACTTCAAAAGCTGGCCACTTCCCCGGGGTTGTCATTAACGTTAAGAGGGAACTCCCTTTTCAAGCCATGTGACCAGCTTTTCAACCAGTGATACTTCATCCTTAAAATATCAAAACACTGGTGTGTTTGTTGTTAGTGCAGGCATGTAACTAAAAATCCTTCCTACTGGAAACAGAAACCGCAAACAAAATGGTTCGCCTTCTATTAATACATGGAATCATGATGCTATAAAAACTTTAATACAAATAATCACACATTTCAGTAAGATAATAGTCTGATAAAAATATATTTCACTCTTGCCTGCCACCAGTTATTCTGAACACCAAGTGAAAGAAATGTGTTGTCATCATTGCATGTTCCCATACAATAATGAAATTTGTGCTCTGCATTTGACCCATCACATGTAAGACACAAAGGTGGAGGGAATAGATGTCTTGCTCAAGGACACCACGGCATAAGAGCATGACGGGGAGTTGAACCTGTGACTTGCTGTCCCTACCTCTACACCACAGCCACCCCTTAGACGTGTGAGGTCTGTTTAGAAAATGTTGCAGTCAACTATTACAATCGACTCTCAGCAGAATATGTCGTGAAGCACTGGAAGGAGTTTAATGAAACTCTCAGGAAGAAACCATTGGAGGTACGACTACAACTCAGTAACGTTTGGAATCAACCTGTCTTAAGATGGCTGCCACAGCTAATCAGTCTCAGCCAACACAAAAAGACTACAACTCAGCCTGTTTGACAGATATGAAGCTACACTTGGTGTAGTAACAGCTGAGCATGATCCTAACACATTCTCTGAGCGCCACACGTTCTGCAACACCTTTGATTAAAACTTAGGCACAAACTATTTGCATCAACCCTGCGTATCTGTTAGCAAAATATCTCAAACTACTGAATAGATTTTTGTGAAACTGTCAAAACGTCATCATTGGATGGACATTGGCTTTTATGTATGTGAATGTTTCTGTAAAGTGCCCTGAGACAACTTTGTTGTGATTTGGCGCTATTTAAATAAACTGAATTGAATTGAAATCGATAACACATTAACTTTTGAGGTCAGCCCAATCTAACATGCCCCCCACAGTTAATAACTAACACAAACACAAAAAAGTCTACACCTCTGCCAGTTTTTCACATACTGAGCTACATTTTGTGTTAGTACCGAGTTAACCTCATCACATTCCTTATAACAATACTAGGCCTTCAACTAAATTTATAACTCGAAGGTTAAAGCAGATTTTTAGCTGATGTCATCAAAATGTCAAAGTTGTTTTGATTAAAATAAATTTAACTTTAAATTTAACTTTAGAAGACACGATATGATGGTAAAAGTAAAAAGAGTTGCCCAGCAGATTGTTGTGCCGTCCTAAAAGGAAAAAAATAAACAGAAGGAGGAACAGAAGGAGGAGGACTGGAATAGATTGAGCAGCAGTCTGGCTTTTATAGCGGACTGCAGTAGTCCGAGTCAAATTCAACAGGAAACATGGCAACAGAATGAAACAGTCCACTGCATGTTGAAACGATTCCCAGTCCGCCTCAACTGGCTGATGAGATCAGTGCCAGAGTTTAAAAATGGGGAGATTCATTATAAAAGCTTCGGAAGGAGGACATTTAACGATCTGTGAAAAAAGTTTCCTGACAAGTATGAAAGTATGTGGAAAATTTCACAGCCACGCAGCCAGTATTTGTTTAGACTTTCCAGGTGAATCAAACGCTGACATTTTTTACTCGAGCAGCATCTGTTAAATGTGTGCATTCACCTGCGCAGCATCAGTTTGGGGTTCTTGCTGTGGACATATTCCTCCATCAGTTCCAGCAACAGGGTTCTCATAATGTCAGTGTAGTATTCCAGCTTCCCGTGCAGAGCCACTGTCAGCAGGGAGGCAAAGTACACTTTGGCCCTGGCGTTAAAGTCGTTACTGTGCTCCAGGGTACGAATAAACTATAAAAAACAGAGACGCAGACACAGAAACAGGCAAATGTTGAACTGAATTAATCATGATAAAACTCACACACAAGCAAATCCAGCATAACGTGCCTTTAAATTATCAAATGACTAACACTACAGAAATTACAATTATCAAGGTAATTTTGATTCAGCACTGTAAAACATAGCTGCTTAGAAATGATACCAATTAGTGGGAGAAGATTCATGCCACAGTTAACACCTCTGAGACTGTTTCTGTGCCAGCAAGTTCGGATTATTATGAATCTTCACACATCTCCCTCTCCTCCATCTTCTGCACATCCGATGCTGTTCTCCTCAAACTAGAACATGACTGCTATGAATTCAAATGATGGGAATCTGACTTTAAAATAGTTTTTTTTTTTTTTTTACATGTTGATTATTGCAACAGCTGATTCTCAATACTATCAAAGAGGTACGGAACAGAGCACAAAGGGAACCAAAACATAATTTAGTGGATTATAAACACAGATTATCACACAAATAACCTTGTTTCTAAGGGAAATGCTCAGTTAAATTTTACAATCCATTAACAGAAAGCTGAAAATCCAAAAGCAGCAACAAATTTCGAGGCACTTGCCTTCATATTTCTGCTTTCTAAACTAAATACAGACTCATCTGTTGCTGGTCGTATTAACTGACATTAAAACCCAGTGGATAAAATAATACTGGTAATTGAGAACAAGTTTTTAATGTACTATCAGTAATGACCACTAAGTGCAATTCTCCACCCATGCTGTAGTAAATAAGTGTATAGGACTATAACATATATTACAACCCATAGTTACATTGAAATTCCCCATGTAGACACTAAATGAAACATTGTCAGGTTTGTGCTGCAACTGACCACGCAAACATTCCAAACCTGATGAGCATTTACTGCTACGTATTGTATACTCACATTTATGAGGAATGTCTTGGAGTTCAGCAGGTTGGAGAACTGGTTGAGCGCTTGTGTCACTGTGGCTTTTCGAGCCTCTGGGATGTCCAGCTTCCCTGTGATCATCACATCGTTGGCACCATCCTTGGAGGGCAGGAAGAACACCCTGTCTGTGTAAGTCTTGTAGTCCAGAAAGGGGATTCGTCCCTCACTCACGTCATTCGTGTGGTCCTCCATCTCAATCATCAAGTCTGAGGCAGCAGCAAAGAAATGGCTTATTTTTCTTAATTTGTCTCGTTTGTTCAAATCAAATGGTAAATGGACAGTACTTATATAGCGCCTTTCTATCTTATTTCAAGATACTCAAAGCGCTTTACACTACAATCTGTGCCTCATTTACCCATTCATACAGCACTCTACTAGATCTATACAAAGCTAATTGAACAAATCATTCTAATGAGAGTAATCAGTGCTTTTAGATCACATTCATACACTGATGGGACACACATCAGAGGCAATGAGGGGTTCAGTGTCTTGCCCAGGGACACTTCGGCAGGTGACTGCTGGTGGATTCGAACCCCCAACTCTCGCATTGGAGGACGACTGCTCTAACCATTCAGCCACAGCCGCCCAACATCAAGACAAAAGTAAAAAAAAAAAAAAAAAAAACATAACATTGTCAGGTAAATCTATTTTATAATGAAATACTATTTACTATCATGGTTTTGGGGAAAACTGCTCCTTTTATTGATAACAGCATATCAGAAAGTGAGAGAATACATACATGCCACTGGTTATGGTCACTGGTTTTGTAATACATAGTTCTCATGTGACGTAACACATCCGGGCACTTTGTCGCTAACCACCATCTTTGTAGGCACGCAGTAGCTGCAGACACGGCTGAGTAAGTTTGTTCATTTTTTTTCTTTAATTAAATTACAATGGCTGTTTCGTATTGGGTTAGAGGATGTTCCAACTGGGCAGAAGGGTTGGCAAAGTGCAGTTTCCACCATATTCTAAAAATTAGGAAATGCGAAGGACCTCAGACGGAGGAGCTGAGTGCAGAACGTCATCGAGAAACATCAACCACAAAAATTTGCCTTCAAAAACATCAAGAATCTGCTCTGATCACTTTTATTCCGGTAAACACAAAATTATATAATAGTCATTTTACTAAACGATGTCAGAGTAGGGCGGCACAGTGGTGCAACTGGTAGAGATGCTGCCTCTCAGCAAGCAGGGTACCCTGGTTCAAATCCCAGTCTGGGTGCCTTTCTGGGTGGAGTTTGCATGTTCTCTCCGTGCATGTGTGGGTTTTCTCCGAGTACCCCAGTTTCCTCCCACAGATCAAAAACACGCATGTTTGACTGATTGGTAACTCTAAATTGTCCCTTGGTGTGAGTGAGAGAGTGAATGGTTGTCTCATTTGTCTCTATGTGTCCCTGTGATGGACTGCAGACCTGTCCAGGGTGTCTCCCGCCTCTTGCACCGTGCTGGACATGAGCACCAGTGACCCCCACAACTCGAAAAGGAAGAAGCAAGTAAAAGATAATGGATGAATGGACTGTCAGAATGTAACTATGTGTGCTGGATCAAATCTGTTCATGATTTAACGCGTCTCTACTGTAGTCAGCTCAGCTATGCTATGAGCTAAACCTCCACACTGTAACACTCATGGCAACAATGTCCTGGTTTTAGTCCCGAGTTGAGCCTGGGCTCTTTTTGTTATGAGGCTGCATGTTAACATTTTGTTTAAACCTTTACTTAACCAGTTACATCTGACTGAGACTAAAAATCTCTTTTTCAAGAGAGACTGGGTCAAGAATGGCAGCAGTGCACCAACATTACTGTCAGGCTGCGAAGCTCCTCCGTTGTGTAGGCACTCCTCGTGTTCACGAAATAATGAACTATATCATAGTAAGAGATCGGTGGCAACTTGTCCGCGTTGGCTGGCATGATGTCTTTCTCTGCCTCATACAGGTCGATTCTGACAACAGTTTCCTGCATATATCTTTCTCTTGCACACTGGTCAAGAGTATCAATATACTTTGCTTTGATCTGTCTGAAACTTCCATCTTAAAAGCAGACCTGTTGAGAGTTAGTCTTTTTCATCAAAGCCTTGTGGTTCATTCATTCAACCTTTATTTAGACAGGTTAACCCCAATGAGCCTCGAGGACTCATTTACGAGACCTGATTTTAACAAAAAGTGATGATAGCAATGGACAACGACAACAAAAGACAGTCATAAAATAGGCACACAAATTTAAGTTTATCTTTTTTTTAAAACAAATCGTAACAAAATAGCAACCAAAAGGACAACCAAGAGGAATAGCAGCAAAAAAAAACAGTTAGATCATGAGACGATTTAGAAAACTAAAAACAGGAACATGTTTGCATTGGCTTTTGTCAGGTACTTAACAGGGTTTTAAAGTCACTTAGAGAGGTCAAGGTCGAGAGCGTCAGATCTTTTTGCAAGATATTCCAAGAAACGGGGGCGATGTAGGAGAATGCCCTTTTACCTAGTTCAGACCTCAATGAGGGAACACTGCATGTAATAATGTCCTGAGAGGTTACCTGTGAATTCTTTCTTGCAGCGTTCTCGTACACTTTCCTCCAGGTTGTCAAGCTGGTGTTTCACTTTCTCATATTCCCTTTCTGCCTGCTGACTCTTTCTCCTGAACATCACAACAAGCAATGGTAAGAGAAGTTCCATGAAGACGAGATGAAATATAAACATTTTACCTGCAGTGCATGCACATTATTGGAGAACTATAGCAAACTGAGATTTGTATACAGCTCCTTTAAGACATTTCAGTCTCTATTGAAGCAGCTCACCTGTAGCAGTAGACAGAAATGATGATGATGAGCAGCATGGGCACGATCACGGCAGGGATGATGATGTACAGGGACAAATCATTCTTCTTTTCGTACTGCACTGAGCCCACCACCCACTCTCCTTTTCCAAACTTGATCTGTGGATAAACGTAAAGACCTAAAATCTACACATGCTCTACACTGGAGATTTTGTTATGTGGGAGTCAGTGGTAAAGACTGTGTGAAAGAGGGCACACAGATATAGTCTGCTCACATTTCAGGAGCAGCATCTGTTAGTTACTTTTATGTGCCATGTCTATTAGGAAGTTTAGGAAGTCTGCCTCACCATCTTGAAGGTAGTGTGGTGTGTGTGTTGGTGCAACATCAGGATGCTCATTGTGGCACTCATGTTATCAGATTACAGTTCACAAAGACGCTGCAGGTCACCCACATGTCTGTCATTCTTGACCTGTGCTGTAACAACAAGCAATGTATTGTTTCACTTAAGTAATTGCCAATTAAGTGGTTCTCAGCAAAACTCAAATATTTGTTTATAATAACATTAACTAATATTAATACTCCTTTGTATACAATTTCAGAGTGTAGAAAAAAGCCACATAGAACATTACTGTATGTTATAAAAAGTAACAGGAACCATTTCCTCTCAACACAGCAACTGCACAAGAGACTTATAACAAACAACTACTCAGAAATTCACTTATCATACATTATTAACCATGTATAACATAAAATATTGTGTAATTATGGGACATAAAATTATTGCAACGTAAAAAGAAAAGGAAAAAAAAACAGATGTGGAGCAGAATATCAATTAACATGCAACACTGCAGGTGTAAAGCTGGCATTGTATACTTATGAATTAGTGCATTAATCTTGCCTTTTTGTTGTTGATATATATTCTTTATTGATATATATTCAGTAGTTACTTCTTTATACAGCACACAGCCACAGAGCTGAAACAGTATCTTACTGACAGAATAACCCACAGAAGAATTACACGATTCATCACAATCTTCTGAGTTGGGTTAAATTAAATGTAATTGTAAGAGCCTGTAGCAACATGAAAGCTGTTGAACTAGTGGAAATAAAAAGCACCTGAAGATGTATGAAGGATACAGCTAGAGCCGCACAGTTAAGATTAATAACACGTGCTTGTTCTCGCTCGCAAATCTGTATATAAATATAAAAAGGTACATTCATTTAAATGTTTCAATGTGAACATGAGAAAAACTTCTACTTTAAAGGATTTCTTCGTTGTTCCAATTATTTTTCTATTTCACAAGATTTTACTCGGATGTACTTTTAATGCTACTATATTTATAATTTTATGATATTTGTTGATGATATTTATATTTAGTTTTAACAAACTACAGAGAATAGATTTTTTTGCATTAGCCCAGAAACGGTTAATGAGTCTCTTTATTACACAATTACAAGTGTATAACAATACCATGCTGCTAACAAGACCACACTGCTAACAGTACCATGTTGCTAACAGGACCATGCTGCTAACAGGACCACAATGCTAACAGAACCACCCTGCTGACAGAGCCATGCTGCTAACAGAACCACACTGTTAACATGATCAGACTGCTAATAGTACCATGCAGCTAACAGAACCACGCTGCTAACAGGACCACACTGTTGACAGGACCAGACTGCTAACAGTACCATGCAGCTAACAGAACCACACTGTTAACATGATCAGACTGCTAATAGTACCATGCAGCTAACAGAACCACGCTGCCAACAGGACCACACTGTTGACAGGACCAGACTGCTAACAGTACCATGCAGCTAACAGAACCACGCTGCTAACAGAACCACACTGCTAACAGGACCACACTGTTAACTGGACCAGACTGCTAACAGTACCATGCAGTTAACAGAATCACGCTGCTAACAACACCACACTGCTAACAGGACCACA